AAAAAAAAAAAAAGAAAAAAAAGAAAAAGAAACCTTTCTTAAAAAATGAACAATATTGTCATCACACAGCATAATGTTTGAAATGAAATATAAACTTTAAAAATATATTATTCATACCTGCACCTCCGCCTATGCTTAGAATCTTAATTTCTGATTTTGTGTCTCCAATCCTGAAAGAAAAAAAATTATGTAGTTTTAGAAAAATGTGTTAGGTGCTTTGTGAAATCTGATTATCTAGTCTAGTTGAAGAGAACAGACTAAAAATACAATGAACGAAAACTAGGCCAACATGAAAGTTCCCAATTATACCAGTTATATTGCCATCTTTAGAGTATATTTCAAAATACAGGTTTTATTCATTAACAATCTTGAACTGGGAGACTTGGAAATGGCATTATGTACATCTCAGAGGTAGAAAATGTCATTTGTTTGGATATTGTTTGGAGAACAAGAATAGAAAAAGTGGAGTTTCAAGTCTGGTAATATAATAAGCCACCCATCGTAGATAGGGGAAAGGCTCAGGTGGTTCCCACTATCTATAATGTCTGCCTTCTTTCCTCCCCTACCCCCACTTTTTTTTTCACCTTACTTTTAATGAACAAATGTTTATTAAACATGTATTATGTGTATTCTATCCTAGGCATTAAAAAAAAAGATATCACTTTGCTCTCAAAATGAAATGTGAGACAATAAAGCCCTGAATTATGACTCAGGTACTAGAAATAGAATGAAGTAGATAGATTGGGAAATAAGCCAGTAGGACTTGCTGTTAGACTGATGTGAAGACGTAAGAAAAAAAAAAATATGGGTGCGCAATGACTTCCCTGTTTCAGGCTTGGATGACTGGGAAAAGGGTGATGCCAAAAAGGAAGCTGAGAAATATAGTTTGGTAACAAGCTTATGTTTTTGTCAGGGCTTTTTAAAAAAATAAAGAAGAATTCGGCAAACATTTGAATTTGCAAGATTTAAGCTGGGAGAAGAGAAATCGGGGCCAGGGATATATTCTGGAGAATCATCATCATAAAGTAATAGTCAATGCTAGAAGAGTAGATTCCATCACCCAAAGTTACTGCAGAGTTAGAGTAGTAGTGGATGGTGATCCAATATCAACTTCTAAAGATAACTGGATTGTGAAGAATACACAAAGAAGACAGAGAAGAAAAGAAAGCACAGAGAAGTACTAGAGTAACTGGAGGCAGAGAAAGCCCTTAGTC